CGTCGGCTCGTCTTAGTCTAGGCGCAGTCGTGGCTGCACGCGTTTACGAGAGAACGCGAGGACAGCGGCTCCTAGGGGCTAAGGTGCGTGAGTCCCTTCGAGTGAAAAATCAAAAGTTGATTTCCTGGTGTGCGGAGATGCGCGGTCTGAAAGAAAGGGGCTCTGATACCAAGTGTTACGGGTGCAATGAATCGAAGTAGCGAGAATTGCACTAAGGTGTCAAACGAGTACAAAATGTGAGCGAAGGTATGAGCGAACATTTATACGCGAAACATGCAAAACGGTAACGCGGTGCGTGCGAGCTTGCTAGTGCTACGCTGGAGCGAGGCTCGGGCTAGTCCCGAAGCGAAGGCCGATACGGCCATGCCAGCAGTGCTAGGTTTGGCAAAACAGTGCGCGCGAAGTCGGCGAAGTTCCGTTAGCAGTAACGGGCGAACAATCGGCTGTTGCTGTACGCGATGTAGTCGGCCCCGTAAGGAATGCCGAGAAAATTCCTTACACTTGCTCACATTTATACAGTGCTCTTATCATTTACTAAGCCACATATCGATTCTGGTTGCAACAGAACCTGCCTGAGAACTGAAATATCTTCTATCCAACCATAACTTGATCACACGCTTGAAGAGCTTGGTTTGCAAAGTAACGCACATCTGGATCAGGATCCTCATTAAGCTCCAGTAGACAAGGTCGGATAGTTTGCTCAACGACCTGCAAGGAATACACAAACAACAAGCTACTTCAACCACCAACAAGAATATAAATTAAAACAAGGTAACGGTGAACCAAGCAGACACTTACAGATGGCTCGACAATTGGAATGAAGGACTGAAGCATCTTGGCAACATTGAAGCGGATGTTCGGCACTCTGTGGACAGAGGACGAAGGCATGTTATTTTCATAAAATCCACAGACCAAACTTGGCACAAATGAGGGAGCAACTGCTTACCGGTCCTTGGCAGCATTCAGGATAACAGGAAGCATTGTATTGCAGGTTGCCTCAGCACCAAGCACTGGGGCCAACATAGAGAGAGAAAGCAGGACTGTCATTCGATACAGGTAGTGAGAGTTGTTCACTTTATCCATGATCTGCAGAACAGCAAGCAATTCCTTGTGAGTGGAGGGTAATACAACCTGCACAGAATTTGTTAACATGATACTGACCATTGGCAGGATTTGAGATTGGGCCCATTCTGCACCGAATTCTTCTGCTAAACGTTTCAGGTTTGTCGCAGCTGCTTCACGAATCGAGTACACCTGCAGTGCCAACATACATGAAGAAACAGGACAGATATGAGTAACTGCCCACAGGAAAACTAATTTGCGCCTGAAGCAAGAAACAGGAGACTGGTTACCTGATCTTCAAGCCATTGCATGCACAAAGACTTTAACTTCTCATCAAAGAACTCCATTCCAAGTTGGCCAGCCAAGAGAGGAATGTACTCAATAATGGCAAGTCGCACTCGCCAGTGCCTGTCCTCTGACAATTCCACAATAGCTGGAAGAAGCGACTGTGACAAAAGGTCCATTCCAATGACTTGATTGACTTGATCCAGCTTGCTGATAATGTTGAGCCGGACATCAGGGAACTCATCTCTTAGCAGAGCCAGGAAGATTGGTAGCAGAGTTTCAATAGTGAGCTCCTGTGGAATGTGGGCAGACTACATGAGCACATAACCAAACTGAAAAGAGAGATGGTACGAGCGTATTGAGGAAGTGCACCTTGCCAAGAAGCGGAGCCATCCCCATGATGACAGATGCCAAGGCAGACCGTACATGTTGAGAAGTATCTGTTGAAAGATCCTGAGAAAGCGATTGACATGCAAGCTGTAAGTAAACGGATGGCTCCAACAATGCATGTTCTGTCAAAGAAAAAGAAGTCGCCCACCTTCACACATGGTAGAATGACATTGAACGCTTCGCCATTCTTAACAATGGCACAGATCTTAGTCACTTTGCCAGCAGCCGCAATGCGGACCTCTGCCTCATTGTCCCTCAGAAGCTTCACATACGCGGGGACAAGCTCCGCCCTGGTTGAACGAAAACTAATATTAGAAAAATGTAAACGGGAGAGACGACTGAACGCAAAGGAAAGGCAAGCACCTTGCGACTTCGGGACCAACGGCCTCACAAAGCTCGTGAAGCTGGTTCGCCACCATATACCGCACTCGCCACGACTTGTCCTGACAAATTGGCATAACAGCGAGAAGTTACGCCAATGCAATCAACTGAGAACGTACTAATAGCACAACGCCGCATTTGAAGGAGGGTGGACTTTTGGGGGAGGAAACGCGACGTGTGGAGAGCAACAATGCGGAAAAAAATACCTGGGCAAACGACAGAATCACAGGAAGGATGCTGGAGATGCAATCCTTTTTCTCCAGGAGCTTTCCGACCGCAGCACATCCTTCGACAGCCAATAGTCTCACAGAATCTTGGTCTGCAAAACGAATGGAAGCGACATTAGCTACACGGACTGGTGAAGATATCAAATTTCGTGCAGGTCCTAAAAGACTCGTACCGTCATTTGTAAGATCTTTAAAGAATTCGAGAATGTCAAGCTTCAGGAACTGCGGCTCCACCGTGGCGGCAAACTTGCCCATGTTCAGTGCAGACGAGCGACGGACCATCGGCATGTCGTCATGACTAAGCTGTCCGTAAAGACTTCGAAGATCCGCTCTTTGCTGCTCGGTCGCGCTGGGATAAGCAATATGGAACAGCCCGCAAGCAGACACGCGAGCTGTAAACCATTCCCCCGCTCCAAGCCTCTGGCAATACAAGAGGATTTTCGGAAAATTAGCAACCTTTACACATTCAAAATTCAAGCCTTCCAGAAGAATACATTGGCGAATGCATGGCACCTGAACAAGTGGAACGAAGAACTCGACAATGTCTCGGGGCTTCATCTGTTGTCCAATCTTGCACAACGACTCAACGGCTTTATCCCGGACAACAGTCTCTTCAACCGTGCATAATGTCTCTAACGGAGGAAGGAGCACGGGAGCGTAATCAACACCACCCACGTACGGAATGAACGAACCAAGCTCTTCTGCCATAGCAAGTAGCACTTCATCATCATCGTCATTGTTCTCGTTCAAAAATGGAATTAACTCCTTCCGTGTCCGGTCCTCGCCAAGTGCTCGTGCGATGGTGCTAAGGCGTCTGATTGAGTTCAGACGAAGCTGGATATCGTCATTCTTTAGCTCGTCTATCAGAATGGCGATAGGATACAATGGCTCCTCAACGACGGCCATGTTTGTGGCCATAGAATGAGATGCCAGCTGGCCAGAAAGTAACGATCTTCCTCTAAATACTACAGTGACTACCAAACGTCGCTAGAGCATCCTTCACTAGGACCCCTAATGTTTGGATCTATGCCAGACTGCTTCAGAGGACTAGGGTTTCGAAGGGGCAGAACAATCCCACAGCCGCTCTAGATGGAGTGGGTGTGGTACAAAAGCAAGGTGTGGCACTAGTGTGAAGGGGTGTGGGGATTGGCGCTGTCAGGTCAGAGGCTGTTCGAGCATTATCCGAAAATGGCGCGAGACAGGAGATTGAGACACTCGTTTGAAGATCAATTACAATACAAGTCGTACGACTTTTGTTGTCTTCATTCCACTGTCAGAATATTGTCGTATCATTATCGAAAACCCAGGTAATGAGACACATTATGTACAAACGAATCACACAGTATTAGAATTTCAATCAGTTGCAGGCTGGACGCATGCGCCACATTCCAGCCACAAAGTCCTGCCCAATAACTGGCGTGCATTGGCAGCACATGTGTACCGTAGCTTTCTTTTCCACCTGTAGTATCTCGCTATTTACCAGCGAAGGATCCCACGTGGAATCACAGCCAAATCCCTCACATCACTGTCAGAGGGGTGGTAAATAGTTTTCAGAGTCCCGGATGCAACTCAACACCCTCATGTAAATCTCGGGTCATTTTGTGGATCAGTGGATTACATTTTCATTGTTCTTGGTAGTGCAGGCACAAAACAAGGAGTATATGAAGTTGGAACAGCCCACTTGTAACTTGGCCAGGCGGCGAGTAGGGATAGAAAAGACTTGAGAGACCAGGAGTTCCTTCAGGTAAGCATGTTTCGAGAGTCGACTCTCAGAACCTGGGATGTGATTTTGTGCAAATATGCTTTTGATCAAGATTCTCTCGACCCCCCGAAACCAGAAATCCAGACGGAAACAAGCCACAAACCTCGTTGGGTTAGGTGTACTGCAAACCAGCCGTCCGATAGGCAAGACGATGTACGGTGGATGAATTACCGATTTCCTCCCACAGGCAGCCTACCCCACCAATTGCGGGAGGGTCAGAGTGGATTGAGGGGAGGGAGGGGTGGGGACCACCTCCACTTAAGCTCTTCGCTGGATTGCGGTTTCGTCTTCAGCCACATGCTTCCCTTCCTCCTCGTCACCACCGAAGGCACAAATCAGAGTGCAGTGCTCTGAAAAGAAGTCTCAAGAAGAAGCAGACGTAGAGTGTGCAGCACTAGTACCTTCCGCCGAAAATAGCTCAGCGGAATCAGGTCGACGCCCGAGGGAGCTTGCTGCCCGCGGGCAAAAAAAATAAACCCCAGACGGGCATGCATCCAGTCCCATTCCCCTTCAAGCAAGTTGGCATTGTTCAGGCATCGTCTTGCCCAAGTAGTGTCTACTCGTCTTCGGAGCTCGAGGTTAACCAATTCAGCCGTCAACACTACCTGTAGATTGCTGCTGTTTTTTTTCTGGATTGAAGCTTCTTTGTCTGGAAAGAGCCATTATGTCGTTCAGTACGTACCGCGACAATGTGACGGGTGTAGCGAGTCAGCCTTGTCGATACTAACTTCGTGTCGCCACGACTAGCGTACCCTAATCGCACAGCAATCACGACCAGATCAGAGCGAGCAAGCGAGGAAGCAGCGTACAATATTTTCTCTGAAACAGAGAACAGCCCTGATTGCCGCTAGTGAGAACGAAACTCATCGCAGCCTCATTCTGCTAGTACTCCAATGGGAGGTTGCCTAAGCCGATCGCATGCCGATGACTCCTTTCCAACAAAAGCCAGAGGCCAGCACAGCAACTACAGTGCACCAGAAAAACCATCTGTAAGACTAGATCAGCCAGGCGCAGAAGGCAAGGAGGTTTCGCACACCCCAGCGCAGCGATCAAAGTCACGAGAAGGATCGGAACACGGCGCGATTCGAGCAGCGCGATCGCGAGACAACTCGGAGCACGGGTCTTCAAAAGTGAAGCCGGAGCTGCCAGTAGATGGCGTGCATTTGCCGGGCAAGAAAGAAAATTCCGAGTTCCTGCCCGGATCGCGACCCGGCAGCAACGACTGGGACCGCAACAACCAGCCGTTGGATCTTTCCGAGATCACCGGCAGAAGCACGGCCGACGATGATGACGTTTCACCCAAGAATGGCCTCAAGCAGATGCTTCAAGAAGTGCGATCCAGCGACCATGCGCGCGTCGCAGCGGTCGCAGGCGACGGGAGCATGGGAATGGGGTTCGGGCAGCGAGGTGGTAACCCGATGTTCGCGCAGATGAACAGCAGCACGCACGGCGTGGGAGCCGGGGGAATGGCGGGGGCGACGTCGATGCACGGCGGAGTGGCGGCCATGGGGAGCTCGTCCATGCACGCGGGGTTCATGGCGTCCGGCTCCATGCACGGTGGCGGCACGGGACGCGCGTCCGCTGTCGCCATGCGGTGAGCGGAGGGAATGACTCTAAACAGTTTTTTTTTTTTTTTTTTTTTTTTTGTTCCCGCTTCTGTGGTAGCTCCTGTGTCTGTCTGTGTTGGTCGGTTGGGCAGTGCAAATGGCTGGGGACAACGTGGTTGAAAGCACGGAGGGTCAGAATGATGCCTTAGATATTGCTTGCTTCTCGTGAACCCTTGCTCTACGCACCGACCGCCTGACCCATCGGGCCCACACGGTCCGTTGCATGCAGCTCAAAGTTCGTGCGGCAATTCCGTCTTTGTGACGAAACGGCCGTTTCAACACTCGTTCTCTCTCTCCCCTCCTCCCTCTCCCCCACCCCTCCTCTCTCCCCCCTTTCCCCTCCCAACCACCCACCCCCCTCTCCCCCCCCCCCCCTTCCCCCTTTTCTGTCCCCCGCAGTGCCATGCAGGCGGCGAAGCTGCGAGCGTCCAAGACGGCGCTGGAGCGACACAACGTGCAGATCGTGGGCACCGGCTCTGAACTCCTCGTGCTCTCACACGGTTTCGGGCAAAATAAAAATGTGAGTCGCACAGCTTTGGGCAGAAAAAAAAATAATGTACTCTGTCCGATAGGTAGGGTTAGGCTGTAACAGTTGGGTAACGAGCCACGCGCATGGTGAACAATGAACAAGTCAACAAGGGTCCCACCCCCATTGCGTTGAGTGTGTGTCTGATAGCTTGGCCAAGTGACTATACCTAAGCATGCACGCTGAAACAACAAAGCGAATGCAAGGTCCTTGGCTGATTTGCAGAATGCAGGGGCGCATCTCCCCCCCACTCTCCTCCCCCTCCACAATCGCATCCCCTCCATTCCCCCCAACCCCTTCCCCTTCCCCTTGCTTCTCCCCCCCTATTCGCCTGTTCACATTGTCGTGTGTGTGTGTGCAGATATGGAGCAGCATAGTGGGGCAGCTGGACACGAGTGTGTACCGCATTGTGCTCTACGACCTCACCGGCGCGCTCGGGTACGTCAGGGTCTGTGGCGTGGGAGGCACGGCAAGGCATGGCATGGCGTGGCAGGGGCAGGGGCTGGGGCTGGGTGGGGTGGAAGGGGCATAGTGGGGCAGCTGGACACGAGTGTGTACCGCATCGTGCTCTACGACCTCACCGGCGCACTTGGGTACGTCGGGCTCTGCTGCGCGCTGTAGCGTGGCAGGCATGGCATGGCGTGCCAGGCCTGGGGCTGGGTGGGTTGCGCGGGCTGGGTGGGGTGGGGGAGGGTCATGGCATTGCATGGGCTGGCTGGGTCGGCCTGGTGTGGCATGCGGCGTGCATTGGGAGACGTGGCATGGCGTGCTGCTTGGGGGGGTGACGGGCACGGCATGACATGGCATGAGGTGTGCTGTGCAGCATGGCACAGTGAGCAGTGAATGGATGAGCATGGCATGGAATGCAAAAACATATGGCACGCTACGCAGCTACGGCATGCATCCACCCCGTTCCAGTAAATTGTTTCAAACACTCAAGCAAGCCTAAAATCATCTCACAACAACCCCCCTCCCTCAACCCCCTCCCTCCCCCTCCTCTCCCCTCCTCCCTCACTCCTCCCCCCCTTCTCCACTTTCCTGCCGCTTTTGCTCTTCAACCTTTCACGCCTACTTGCATGCCCTCCAGCACGCTGCATAGCTCATGCGCCTCTGCCCTCTCTTCCTCTCCACCCACTTACACCCCTCCCCCTTCCCCCCACCCCCCTCCTCCCCCTCCCCCTCCCCCTCCCCCTTCCCCTCCCCCTTCCCCCCACCCCCGCTCTCTCCCGCCACCAGCACGGACTACGATGCCTTTGACTACCAGCGCTACAGCACGCTGCATGGCTCATGTCCATCCTCTCCTTCCCCCCTCCCCATTTCTACCCCCTCCCCCAGCACGGACTACGATGCCTTTGACTATCAGCGCTACAGCACGCTGCACGGCTTTGCAGAGGACCTGCTGCAGCTGCTGGCAGAGCTGGGCGTCGAGGTATGCTATGCTGGGGGGTGCAGGAGACGTTTGCTTCTCAAGGGCTAGAGAGCAGGAAAGCAGGGCTTTTGCTTTGCAACCCACCGCTGCATGGCTTCGCACAGGACCTGCTGCAGCTGCTGGGGGAGCTGGGCGTCGAGGTATGCTGCAGCGAGGGAAGGGGAGAAGCAGTAGATGCATGCTTCTTGAGGTCGGTAGGAGGACTAGTGGTTGAGACCCGTGGCTTGGCAAAGAATCCCTTGTTTGCTGGGAGAGGTGGGCTAGGGGGTGCGGTGCCAGTGTGGGCAAGGGCACAGGGGCGAGACACAGATCAGCTGTTTCTGTCTGCATTCGCCAGCACCATGGTCATATTCCCCCACTCCCCAACTTACCATCTCCTCTCCCCTCCTCCCCCCTTCCCCATATCCCCACACCTCTCTCTTCCTCCCCCTCTCCCCCCACACTCCCACCGCCCACCTGGGATTCACCAGGGCACGGACTGGGGGCATCAGTGCACGTTCATAGGGCACCAGCAGAGCGGCATGATGGGGCTGCTCGCCTCCCTCGAACGCCCGAGAGTGTTCAAGCGCATCATTATCATGGGCTCCTCGCCCAGGTATGCAATTCTTTGTGGCCGGCCCCCACTGCCTTGCCAGGCGCCCAGGTATTCGCCCTGGTATTCGCCCAGGTATTCGCCCAGGTACTCGCCCAGGTACGCATGTCACCAGGTGTGTCTTCTCTAGCGCATCATCATCATGGGCTCCTCGCCCAGGTAACTATCAAACCATATTCTCTGCTGCTGGTCTGGTTTTACAGCCTGTGTTGTAGATCGCTTGAATGGTTGATATTCTAGCTAGTAAGCTTATGCATGTTATCTCAATGACTCAGTTCCCATAATCATCTGTGAACTAATTCACTTGGTTGCAGGTTGTTGGATGCTCCGGGCTACGAGGGGGGCTTTGCTCTGAACGACCTGGACCAGGTGTTTGGCATCATGCAAGGCAACTTCAAGGTCAGTGCCTTGCTGCTGCTGCCTCCATTCGCTTCTCCTGTTCCTGCAACCCTGCTGATCCTCACACAGTCCTAAGGCATGTCTCAGAGATGCCGTTCGTGTTGAAATCTCTGCCTCTCATCCTATCTCCCATCCATTTTCCATTCCGCATCTCCCGTCCACATCCCCCTTCTGCATCTACCCATGCTTGCTCTGCCTCGTGGAATGGGCTCAGCTGTGGTAGGAAGCTGTGTGCAGGTGCTCGCAGCGGGAAGGTGCCTTAAGTGCGCGACGTTTGAGACTTCCTATTTCCCTTGCGTATCTTCCATACATATCCCCTGCCCGCATCTGCCCGTGTGTGCTTTATTCCTGTGATGCTTGCAGATGTGGAGCAGAGGGTGTGCGCCCGTGCTCACAGCAGAAGATGTGAAGGCGCCTCACGTGCGCGACTTCACCCGCCCGCTCTTCCTGCTGCGCCCTGACATCGGCTTCAGCAACCTCAAGACCGCCTTTGCATGCGACGTGCGAGACATCCTCCCACGGGTGAGTGCTTGTGCATGCTGCATTGAAGGATGAATGGTACAGCAACCATTTCTAGATCGCTCTTCCTGCTTTGCTCCGAACAGCTTCAGCTACTTACTGAGCCTGCCTTGGTCAGTGCTCCACCTGCCTTGGGACCTTCTGCTCATCTTGTTCCCCACCTCCCATTCCCTTCGCCGTCCCCCCTCCAGGTGTCAGTGCAAATTCATCTTCTCTTTTTCGTGCCCCAGTCAGTAATACAGTACACGCTCACCACCATTCCCAACGCCCGGTGCTGTACCTGCCTTGGGAACTTATACTCATGCACCTGTCCACCTCCCATTCCCTCTGCCTGTTCCCCTAACAGGTGTCAGTGCAGATCCATCTTCTCTTTTTCGACCAGGACTCAACCGTGCCCCAGTCAGTGATACAGTACATGCTCACCACCATCCCCAACGCCTTTGCCGAAATCCTCTCTACAACCGGCTTCGCTGACTCGCCTACAACCGTTGCTGCGGGCATCCAACGGCATCTCAGCATGCCGATCCGAGAAACGTTTGGGCTGTCGAGTCGGCGGATCTTCAATGCGCGGTACCTACCACCGCCTATGCCTGAAATGGAGGAGGATGCTCAAGAGATGGAGGTGGAAATAATATAGACTAACAATGGTGAATGCAGGTGTACTACAGTCGAAGGGGCATAGGTATGGTACATTTGGGAGGATATGGATTGGGTGGAGTGAATTCCGCCCACTTTGTCTGCTCTAGGCTAGGACATTGCAGGACACTGCTTACTAAGTTAGGCATTTGTGTCCTTACTCGTACCCAACTAGTTGCTTAGTGGAAATCCATGCAGCTCACACTGGTGAGCTCTGGTGAGACTAGCTAGTCTTGTTTGCTCATATCCAATAAGAAATATTTTTGTGGTACCACTTTTTAGTTTACAATGCCGAACAATTTATCACTTGTAAGGAAAATTCCTTTTCCTTCGCGTCCCCACTCATCGCATACACCACTGTAGCACCACAGTCAGCACCGTTACCACTCGCAACTCTTGCATCCACAATCCTCCCGCTACCTTCGCACGTCGCACCCCGACCTCACGGCTCGGCGGGTAACCCGCGCTCCGGGCCTCCGCTTCGACACTTTCCCAAACCTCAATCCCAGGCCCATCGCGCAACAACCACAGTCCATTACCGTTACCACTATAGTTTCGCTATATATTCTTCGCTCACACCTTCGCTCCTTGTATTCTTGCTTCGATAGTGCAATTCTCGCTCGCTCACTCAATTGCACTCGTAACACTTGGTATCAGAGCCTACGATCTCTTCTCGAACCGCACCCACACCTGCGCTTCCCCACTATCTCAATTTTTTGGGGGGGGTAGACGTCTCTCAGCGACACAGCACCGCCGCTCGTAGTGCTCTCTCGTAAGCACGCACGGCCACGACAGAGGCTCTCGCTGAGCTTGCCCGACACCCCCGCCATGGCCGAATTCACGCTCGCAACATTGACGCAGGAGCAGCTCGACCGTCTGGTGCGCCAACTTGAAGACTCGGCGCTCGAAATTGCGACGCTCACGGCGGAACGTGACTCCGCGCGTCAGCAATCAACGGTGAACACTCCAGCGCCACCACACGCACTGACAAATGCATCTGCACAATCGGACGAACCGATCGTCATTTCATCCGGCACACCAATACAACACGACAGCGTGGGACAGCGCTCAAGCGCAGCCAGTGATGGCGCCGCCCAGCCGATGCCTGGCATGGGAGGAAACAGGGTCGCACCAAGCCCGCGGGAACCTCGCGAAGCCCGTCGGCACGTGGAATTCGCGGCGACAAGTGGCGAACAGGCCATTATGGCACCAATGCCACTCAAGCCGCAACGACCACCCTGCTTCGATCCGAGCCAGCGTGGAGGTCCGACGGTTCAATCGTGGGTCTTCACGATGAATGCCTTCTTCGACGCGAATTACGTCGAGTCGGATGCAGCGAAGATTCGGTATGCCGTTTCGCTGCTAAGGGGCCCCGCCATGGACTGGTGGCGAGTCATCGTGACGTCGCCACGCGCCTACGAGCCACCGTCGCAAGAGGAAGGGCCCACGGGTCCAGCTGTCACGTGGAGTTCATTCTGCGAGACCACCCAGTACAGGACGTGGGATGCGTGGTGCGCAGGGCTTCGGGCGCGCTTTGAGCCAATCGCGGCTTCTATTTCGGCGCGTCAGAGACTGCGTACTTGGCGGCAGCCCGGGTCGGTTCAAGATTACACGAGTGGTTTTCTCGCATTATGCGAGCAAGTCGGCTATATGCACGAAGCAGAGCGGGTGGACCGTTACGTCGGAGGGCTGAAGCCGGACATCTCGCACGAAATCATGCTACGCGGGCCGAGACTTCAACGAGATTCTCGCGCTTGCCGAGAAAATCGACATTTTACGCCGTCCGAGACCGGGGTCCTACTACGGACATCGTCCTCGGGGACCGATAAGGCACGCCACCGTACATGCCGTTGCGACGAATGCAGCTGCCGCGCCGTTTAAGGGACGCTGCTTTGCTTGCAATAGGCCGGGCCATCGCAAGAGTGAATGCCCAGAGGAGCTAAGGCGCCGCGGAGCAGAGCAGGGGAGGGAGTCTCCAAGGCAGGGAAACGCCAGCAGCCAGTAGGAATCGGGCCAACTACTAACGAGACTGCCTGCTCGCCCAACCCCACCGACCCTCACCGAGTCATAGTACCGATTCATGCTATCGATCGGACTCTGACGAATAAGGAAGGTACAACGACAAATTGCCCAATAATGATCCACGGGAAAATACAGGGAGCAGTAGTAAAGATTTTTAGTTAATACCGCAACCGCACGAAAACTGCTGTCAGAACTTATAGCTTACTTGTTTCTGTAGGCTATAGTGGGGTATCCCATAGGGGGTACAACCCAATTAGGGTTTCCTATTTGTACTCTCTTCGTTCATAGTCATTCCATTCTCGTTCTTTGCTTTCACATGGAATCAGAGCAGGTTCCCTCCTAGGGACTGCTTCTAGGGCCCACCGAACCGCGCCCCGAGGCGCGTTTTTTTTTAGCGACCCGTCGTGTCGCCCCTAGCGGACCGTTGCGCCGCCCTTCCCCTCGCGGCTCCGCCGCCCTTCCCTAGCGGCCCCGCCGCCCTTCGATCGCGGCCCCGCCGCCCTCTGCTACGCGGCCCCGCCGCCGCCCTTCGATCGCGGCCCCGCCGCCCTCGGCTACGCGGCCCCGCCGCCCTCTGCTACGCGGCCCCGCCGCCCTTCGATCGCGGCCCCGCCGCCCTTTGCCACGCGGCCCCGCCGCCCTCTGCTACGCGGCCCCGCCGCCCTCTGCCACGCGGCCCCGCCGCCCTTCGATCGCGGCCCCGCCGCCCCCTGCTACGCGGCCCCGCCGCTCTCTTCGGTAGCGGCCCCGCCGCCCTCTGCTACGCGGCCCCGCCGCCCTCTGCTACGCGGCCCCGCCGCTCTCTTCGGTCGCGGCCCCGCCGCCACTCTGCTACGCGGCCCCGCCGATCCGCCCAGCAGCAGCCGCCGCCGCCTGAGCCGCCGCCGAGCCGCCGCCGAGCCGCCGCCGAGCCGCCGCCGAGCCGCCGCTGAGCCGCCGCCGAGCCGCCGCCGAGCCGCCGCCCGAGCCGCCGCCGAGCCGCCCGTGCCGCCCGAGCCGCCGCCGAGCCGCCCGTGACGCCCGAGCCGCCCGCGCCGCCCAGCAGCAGCCGAGCCGCCGCCGCCTGAGCCGCCGCCGAGCCGCCGCCGAGCCGCCGCCGAGCCGCCGCCGAGCCGCCGCCCGAGCCGCCGCCGAGCCGCCCGTGCCGCCCGAGCCGCCCGCGCCGCCCGAGCCGCCTGCGGAGCCGTGCTGCTGTTCCTCTGCTGCTGACCTACCTGCCTCTCCCCGCCCGGTGAGATTTTCAGCTGCTGTCATGGCCACCCCCAATGTTCTTACCTTTGACGCTGAGGGGAGGGCCATTGACTTTGCCGTCTGGATTGAAGACCTGCAGCTGTACTTACTGTGTGATGCGATAGATGAGGTCTCTCTCTTTGACTTTGTCTCTGGCGCTGTCCCTGCCCCACCTGCTGATGCTGACTCTGCCGTTCGCTCCAAGTGGGCGACCCGCGATGCTGCTGCACGTCTTGCTGTGCGTCGCCACCTCCCTTCCTCTGAGCGTGCCCACTTTAGTCAGTGCAAGACCGCTCAGGCCTTGTACGACGCTGTAGTTGCACGCTACTCCTCCCCTTCCTCCGCTACCCTTAGCCGCCTCATGCTACCGTTTCTCTTCCCTGACCTCGCTTCCTTTCCCACTGTCGCTGACCTCGTTACCCACCTCCGTGCTAGTGACACCCGCTACCGCGCTGCCCTTCCTGCTGAGTTCCACGCTGCGAACCCTCCTCCCATGTACATCACTCTCTACTTTCTCGTCACCCGTCTCCCTGAGTCCCTTCGTGTCGTTAGGGACCAGTTTCTCTCTGTCTGTCCCACCACTCTCACTGTCGACCTCCTTGAGGAGTCCCTGCTAGCGGCTGAGAAGAGTATTGTCGCTGTAGGGGCCTCTCGGGGTGACCCTCGCACCCCCATCTTTGAGGGGTGTGGTCCTTCCCCCCTGCTGCCCTCTGTCGCCTCTGCCGCTGCGGCCGACCTCACTGGTTTTGAGTCGGTCGGCGCGGCGTCTGCCCCCAGCGGCAGACGCCGCTCTGGCAAGGGCAAGGGGGGCAAGGGAGCGGGTGGAGCTAGAGGGGGCGGTGGAGGAGGCGGTGGGGGTGGCGGGGGGAGTGGGGGTGGCGGTGGGGGTGGTGGCGGGAGTGGAGGTACTGGTGGCGGCGGTGGAGGCGGAGTTGGCGGCGGAGGTGGTAGCGGAGGAGGCGGTGGGAGCGGTGGGAGCGACGGTCCTGGTGGGGGAGGTGGAGGTGGAGACGGGGGTGGCGGTGGAGGCGGGGGTGGCAGTGGAGGCGGGGGTCGGAGTGGCTCGTCTCAGCGGAGCAGCTCCGGGGGTGGTCAGCGCCAGCAGCAGCAGCAGCAGCAGCCGCAGCAGCAGCCACAGCAGCAGCAGCGCTCTCGCACCGTCCCCGCCCCTCAGCAGCTCCGTGAGTGGTACTCGCAGCGTCAGCGTGGTGGTGCGCTTGGTCCTTGCCCCTACGTTCTCCGCACCGGTGACCGTGCAGGGGAGAGGTGTGGAGGCGCCCACACTGCCCGCCGCTGCTTTGGCCGCCTGACTGACGCCTGGCGTCAGCAGTTTCCGGAGGCAGCTAAGATCCCCCGCTGGGGAGAGCTGTCTAGGGCTGGTGTAGCTATTTATGATCTTGATTTTGATGCTATTCTCTCTGCTATGTATGCTGCGATTGGTAGTGATGAGGATGACTGTTACCGGTGTTTCCCGCCCGACCCGGGCATTGGTACTGCCGCGTCAGGTACTAGTGAGGCTGCTGCTCTAGGTGCCAGTGCGTCTGTGCTCTCAGGTGCTGGTGAGTCTGCCCTCTCAGGTACTGTGTCGGCTTCGGCCTCCCACACCTTCACCCTTGACTCTGGAGCGTCTCGCTCCTTCTTTCGGGACCGCACCACTCTCACGCCGCTGAGTCGGCCGGTTGCGGTGTCCCTGGCTGACCCCTCTGGGGGGCCTGTCCTGTCTCGCTTCTCCACTGTCCTCCCGTGTCC